AAAAAAACACGCAAATCTAAAACTTCTTGAAATCACGACTCTTTTGAGAAAACTGCCAACATTTCCTTATCGATGGTTCACTTTCTATAAAGGCCATTTAGTTCTCTTTGGAATGATGTAAAAATTAACGTTTTTGCTCATTTTGCTTCCGAGAAATGAGCAAAAACGGGAAAGAAAACATGAAATCTTCGAACAAAAAATTCGATTTCTATTGGATGGATGTTTCCCGCACTTTTGTATAATAGTGAATTATTATTAATTATAATTGGTTGAATTGCAATTTCCCGAAGACATGAATTGGTAGAGACCACCATCGGATCTCACTTCGCCATACTTTTCCTTTTTGGGGAGATTGCAAGAAAATGCATGGAGAAATGTATATAAACAAACGGTTAGGCGAATAATTCCGAGTAGTTTCGGTAAAGGTGATCTGTTTCTACCTTCATTTTAGTGATTAGTAAGACTAGAGGAAGCTTCTTATTTCGTTTCACCACTGGCCCAAATTTCCAAAATGCGCATTCAAATTACCACCTGAAGATCGTTAATAAAGCATCATGAATATTGGTAAAATCGGTACTTAACTTCAGCTCTTTTTCAAGTACCTATAGACAAAATGCATGAAAAAATCAGCATCATATATGTTTTATCAATTTTTCACTTTACCAATGGTCTGAGTTGAGTTGAGAAATTAGTATCTTCTAGATATCCGAGCTGTGGGTCGACTGGATGATAATTATCGTTTTTCCATCTGCTTGTTTAACGCATTTAAATATGATAGCATAAATTCCGCGTTAGCGACGCAAGTGCGCAAATTATCAATTCCGAGCTTCATATATTTAAATGTTGATTTTGAAAAGGATTTTTTGTGTTTTGCGGCCATTATCAATATAGAACATCATGGCTAAACTACGTCGCCTCAACGAACTGTCGGAGACGGAAGTGCAAAGTGAGATTGCATCAATTGATGCCGTTCTGTTTGATGTGGATGGTAAGTGTGGTTTTTCCAGTTGGTCATAAAAATCTCTTATTGGATACAAACCATCGATGCAGGAGTTTTGCTGTCCGATAAAGCGGTGCTTCCTGGAGCCGAAGCTACAGTGCAAAAGTTGAGGGCTTTGGGCAAACAGATTGGATTTGTCACTAACAACACCTTGTACACAGTGGAACGAATGCAGGCCAATTTGGCTCAATTTGGTGCACAATTTGACGATATAATAAACTCGACGGTTTCCTTGTTGGAATACCTGCGAAAAATCGACTTCCAAAAGGACATTTATATAATTTCCACACCGGAACCTAAACAACTAATCGGGGCAGCTGGATACAATGTTTTAGATTTCAAGGTAAAACTTTCAACGCATCAATTGAGTC